AGCAAACTCCGAGCAGAACATTGCCCTCTCAGTGAACATCTGGGTGATCTCCGTCACCGACTATGTACCCTGTCTCAGATCCAAAAACTCCTATGACAGCTTCTCGCGCTCGACCCGTGGAATGTAGCGAGCGCGAAACATATCCCTGAACTGCTCCCAAGTAACAGCGGCTCTCTGGTCATCTGAATACGACCCAGTCATCACTCTCCACCAGTCCTTTGCCCCAGACCTCAGCAGGTTCAGGGCACATCTGACCTTCTGGTCAGTAGGACATAAGCATGTGAAGAAACAACCCTCCACATCAGATAGCCACCTCATGGCCTTGATGGGATCCTGAGTTCCATCAAAAGTAGGGGGCTTCGTGTTATCGAATTCCCTGTACTGAAAAGCTCTGCCAGCTCCTCCCCCTGCCGCTGATATAGGTGTGGCAGCTGCTACGGCAGCCATCTCAGCTAGGGTTGCATATATGTCGTCAAAATACTCCATCATAGCGGTCTTGATAGACCCAAACATCTCCGGAATCTGACCCCGAACAATCTCGACCACCTCCTCACGGATGATCTCCCTGACACGATCCTCTGTCAACACTGGCCAACCCTGGCCGATAGTCTCGGGCTCTGTCGGAGCGTCCTGACCGCCCAGTCTTGATCCCGATCCGTATCCAATCACAAAACTCCTCGTAACCATCATACTTAAAATATACCAACAAAACATCAGATAATCCGCATAAACAACAGGGAACCAACTCCCAACTAAGCCCTAGGGGTTGTGACTTCCTTGACATGCGTATGGGTCTTGTGCTTTCAGTAGTACGGGCCCATACTACCTTACACACCTACCCATATTTGTCTCAAGTATCATCACAACACCCTAACAATATACATGCGCATGGTGATCGCTCAAGTATCATCTCATAACTGGCCTACCGGCCTCATACAGCTCACCCATGAAACTTCCACCAACCCTGCAACACTCGTCTACGCTAACCATACATAACGCTGGACCCTATAGACTTTCGAATACCTGATCCTACCCTAAGCCCTTCATCAAACAAAAAATAGGAAATAAGGCCAAACCAAACATTCTCAGGCTATAAGATCTTAATTATGTACGACCATGATGCATACACTAAGCAACTACAGTAATGATGTCAATTTCATATAAATAAAACCCTAGGCTCTCAGGCATCATATAATCAGGCAATTCTATCATGCAATTCCTGAAGATCCCTAGCCTAGTACTAGCATGTTGTTCTAACATATCACAATATCAAATAACTGTATGGTATTTTGGGGTCTACTTACTGGCTCCAGCTAATCGTACACTCTGCATCCTCCTTTTTAAAATCAAAGTTAAGTTAAGGTCCACGTTCCCGATCCCAAGCCAACAATCAAACAAGAACATGACAAGAGATCGAGCCCATGCCCTTAACCCAACTCTTTTATTGCAATTTCTTTTCAAAAACATTTTGCAAAAACTCTCAGATCCTAGTTTGAGACTGGATTCACACGAGTGTTTATCCAATTCACTCAAACCAGGGCTCTGATACCAACTTGTAACATTCATAAAAATTGTGCCAAATTTAAACTTTTCAGATTAATTCAAAACCATTTAATTATTACAAAATTGTTTCCAATATTGTTCATTGTCAAAAGTATCCCAGAATCAATCACAAAATACGAGGAGGTGCACGATCAGGCCTTCGCCTTCCCATGGTTATCCGAAGTACCTGAAACAATAATCAATAAATGTAAGCTCGAAGGCTTAGTGAGTTACCCCCAAAATACCCATACTCAAAACAATACACATACAATAACAAACATCATACTATGGGTCCAATCGACCATCGGGTTGGAATACCCCAGGCCCACAACCAATAGGTTGGAATGCCACTATACTATGGGTCCAATCTTCCTCGGGATGGAATACCCCAGGCCCACAACCATCGGGTTGGAATGCCCACATACTACGAGTCCAATCATCCTCGGGATGGAATACTCACGGCCCACAACCATTGTGTTGGAATGCCCAAGTCTGTTGGCTCAAGCACAAAGCAGACAAGCCTCAACCACTAATCAAACATGTGCACATATATTAGATAATTACATAACAGACTGTAATAGACAAACCGATCTAACGGATCATAACAGCATATGACATCCTATCTACCAGGATACTGATCTAACATATCATAATAGCACAATACCATCCTATCTACCAGGATGCTGATCTAACAGATCAGTCTAGCATAACATATCAGGATAACAATCCAAAAGGGTCGGCCTTGGTGCCTTAGACCCTTGAGTATAGTGAGGATAACTCACCCCGCAAGTAGCTAGAGACGATATAGTCGACACCCCCCAATACAACTCCAACCACCAACACCTATAACCGCAATTGACCCATTTTCCATAAGTTTCCCCAATTTACCAAAATGCCCTTAAAAGTCAAACTGGTCAACCCTTGGTCAAAGTCAAATTCAATGGTCAATGTCAACTGTCCATGCTGACCCTACGCGTCGAGTGCAGCTCGCCACTTGTCGAGTTCTTTAGAAATTCAGAAATCACTCAAGTCGACTCGTCGAGTTTCCAACCAACTCGTCGAGTCTATGCGCGTACAGATGTCGGTAAAACCCTAACTGACTCGTCGATTCATCTCCCAGACTCGCCGAGTCCATGCAGAAACCAATCAACTGAAAACCCTCCTCAACTCGCCGAGTTGGATTATCCTACTCGTCGAGTCCATGCACTCCAATTCATGTCCAGTCGATTCTGAGCTACTCCATTGTTCCAAACAGTAGATCTAACCTTCTAGGGCACATTTATCACGTAAAGTTGCAAACTTTCATGCATGCAAGGCCATACTTATAAAAATCAAGCTAAATAAGGGTTTAAGGGATGAAGAAAGGCCAAAGCTTGCCAAATTCGATGCCTTTAAGACAATAGGGACCTAGGGGAATTCCGATCTGAAGTTACAACTTCAGATCTTATCCTAATACACGAAATGATCCCCAAACATGCTAAAGTTGGCCCTAATCTTAACATAAAGAGATCTAGAAGGAGGAAAGTCAAGGTACCGACTTGTTACCTTCAGGTGATGCAAAAATGAAGTAGATTTCGGATCCCTCAACTGCTCCTTGCTCAAAGCTTCTTGATCTCCAAGATCCTCTCTCCAATATTCACCTTCCAAGCTTAATATCACACCACAAGAGAGGAAAACGGCGATTTAGGGTTTCTGGACTCACAAGGGCCTGTAAGGAAGGCTAAAGGAGCCAAATGATCCTTTAAATAGGGTGCAAAACCTTGGAAATTAGGGTTTCATCCTCCAGCTCCAACTCGTCGAGTATGTCCTTTGACTCGGCGAGTTGGCCAGTTAAAATCCGCGATCATAACCGTGCCTACTCGACGAGTCAGGCCATCCAACTCGTCGAGTCGACCTTAAATATTGAAAATATAAAACTTGAAAGTTTATACCTGAGGGTCGCGACGTTACAAAGGAGGTGAGGAAGAATTAGAGCAAGGATCAAGCAAGCAACACCTTCTCATCTTGGTTATCACCTTCTGAACCATTTGTAAGGATTCAAGTCTCTACCTTTTGGAGTTTTTCTCTTAGATCTAGGTTGTTTTTGGTCCCCTTTTGGTTCATAGAGTTGGTTTGAGTGAATGGATAGAATAAAGTTGGCAACTTTATTGCTCTCTAGTGTCCCTTGAGCATCATATCTTATGTATTTGAAGTTTGGTTGTGATTTATGAATCTTGCATGAGGTTTAGGTCATTTTCTTTCCATTTGACCTAAGTTGAGTTGGGGACATGCATGGGGCATGCATGTCCATCAAGTTAGCAGTTTTATGGACCTTTGGTGCCCCCTTTAGCTTCTGGAAGAATTGGGGTTGAAGACTTATTGAGATTAAGGACTCAAAACATTAGGACTTTGCATCAGATGAAGCCTGATGTGATCACGATGTGACTAAGGATAATTCACGTCATGAGGCTGTCAAGTGAGTCATCCTGGACCGAGTTGTTGTGTTGAGTTGGCATGAGTTAGAATCAGTTCGAGTGAGACCTCACGACGTGACTAAGGGCTGGTCACGACGTGAGGCTGAATAATTGATATTTTTGATTGTTGACTTTTGACATGGGTTGACTTTTGGTCAAGATGACTGATTTCAATATGTAGTCTAAGGTTGGACCTTATATGTTGTGATAGAAGTGTTGTAGCGGCAATTATCGTGGCTTTGAGCTGAGGGTTAGTCGGATTTGTGATTCAGGTGAGTCTCCTCACTGTACCCGTGGGTTGAAGGCACCAATGTCGGCCCACTAGGATCTGTTATATGCTAGCTGTCTTTGTGACTCTTGCATGGTATGTCGGGCTAGGCCCATTGTATGATGGGTTGGGCCCATGGATCAGGAAGGGCTAGGCCCAATGTATGTTATATGCTAGTTGTCTCTGTGACTCTTACATTGTATGTTGGGCTAGGCCCATTGTATGACGGGCTAGGCCCATTGTATGACAGGCTAGACCCATTATGGTGGGTTGGACCCAATGTGAGGGCCAGACCCAATGATATGTATGGTATGTGATGTTTTGGGGAACTCACTAAGCTTTGTGCTTATGATTTTTATTTATGGTCCAGGTGCTTCCGGTTCGAAGGGGAAGGGTCCGGCTTGATCGCAACATATCCACCCATGTTTCCGCAACTTTATGATTTTGGGATCGTACCTTGATAACTATTTTACTCTGATATACTTTTGAAAGATTGAAATAGGTAAATAACGTTTAATGGTTGAATTAAAAATAATTTTTTACCTTATAATTTTTAAGATGTTACATTACATGTAAACATAAGTAAACAAACAACATAAGACGAAACTCATCGTCAACTTTTTATAAAAAAAAATACTACAAAACACAAAAGCAATCTAAAAGAAGTACAATTAAACCCAAATTGGCATATCGATTACAAACATCTTTCATTATGTATATACCAATATTTTTATCATCCCAAATTCTTTGTTTATGTCAATACATCGATAATCACATGCAATATTACAAGCATCTTCATCTCATCCCTCACAAATCATGCCGATTATCACAACATGCTTTTTTTAAAAGAGTATAAGAAATTTACTCCTTTTTGTTGGTAGATCATGTCAAAAATCAAGATCCCATCTTTCATGGCAAATCTTGATTTTTCCCTCGGTCTTCAATTGATCTAACCAATCTTGTTTTAAGTTTTCCCTCGGTTTGACCAATCTTCTTTCCTTGAAAGACTTACGTAGTGTTTAGCAAACTAGCTTATAAACTACTTTATAAATTATAATAAACTACTTTTATTGCTTTACCAAATACTAAATTACAATAAGCTAGCTTTTTTTTTTCCAAACATAGGCCTTAGATATATATGGCCTTAAATAAGCTGATGATGCGTATACTTATGATCCCATAAGTCAAACTAGAAGCTATTGAGAATTTGAGACTATATTATAAGCTAGCTTATTTTTTTTTTTTCCAAACATAGGCCTTAGATATATGGTCTTAAATAATATAGTTTCAAATTCTCGGTTTGACTCATGGGATCATAAGTATACGCATCACCAGCTTATTTAAGGCCATATATCTAAGGCCTATATATAGTCTCAAATTCTCAATAGCTTCTGGTTTGACTCATGGGATCATAATCATACGCATCACCAGCTTTCACAAAACTCCCTTTCACGCGCTTTCTAACATCCGCTCTTGCCTTTCGTGAAGCATATCTTACTCTCTTCTCACATCTACCCCAAAAAAAGAGAGCAATATTAATCATATATTTAAATCCATTAAAAAAACTATTTCAAAAGATGTTCATGAAACTTTATCATTTACTCACTTCCGGGTTTTCTTTTTTTCCTTGTAAGGAAGAACCGTATCGTTTCTGATACCTGAAGGAGTAGTGCTATCGTGAGCCAGGGTGCAGCATGGTGGCTCACCCATGAGAAACATAGATGAAGCCCCACAATCTTTATAATCACGTGTATTGCTTTCTCCAGTGAGGCTTGAAAATGAAATAGTGGAATGTGGTTTATAACAAACGTGTGGTGGTTCTGTTTTGCAGCTTCTTAATGAATCAAATGAAGCTGCATTACTGCATGTGGGTTGAACTTGAACATCATATCTCTTTGAGAACAAAAAATAAGTATGAGAATTGAGAAATATTCATGATAAAGAATTTTAAGAAGAAATTACAGCTATATTAATTATTACCTTTGTAGCATGTGAATTGTGAGAAATGGATTCAGCGACTGATGTTTCTTTAGTTCCAAATAAACTATCGACTGACATGAACGACCAGATGGAAGATAGTTCCACCGCCGATGGGCAGCCGGAGTAGCAATTTAACATTTGCCGACAATGGCTACCGGAATCGGAATTAGAACCGGTGTGACCGTCCCAGTTACATTTTTGACAAAGTGAGAGTTTTTCATCGACACATCTAACGAATGCTGGTTTTGAATTGCATCTATCACATACGAGTGTTCTTGAATGGCGTTTTGATAATGCGTTTGCGGAATGAATATAACGATCACACGATAAACATAAGTAAGCTTCGTCTGGTCGACAATACACCATCGATTTTGCCTCGCCACAGTAATCGCAACCGTAACCCATTTTTGGAAAATCTTTATCAGATTTAATGAACTGATGAAGCAAAATCTGTGTCAAACAATTGAGAAACTGGATTAGGGATTTGGAATCTTTGTAATTTGACTGAAATAGCATATACTTTAATGATTCTGTAATCTGCATGCGTTCTTGGGTATTGATAAGGGTCGATTCAAGAACAACCTATCAATACAAATGGTTTCTGAAAATATTCAAATTTAACATCTTTTTAACGAGTCCAGACACAAGATTGAAGAGGGTTTTATGCATGTAGAATTCACACAGTAATCTGAAGAAACAAGAAAACTCTGTTCAGCAAAACAAAGCCAGGGGAGATAATAAAAGCCCAAAAAAAAAAACTCAAATTCATCCAAAAAAAATTGGTTTTTTTCAAAGAAAAAGATGGTTCGAATCAGTGAATGAAACCCAGAATCCATGTATTACGAATAAATAGAAGAAATCCAAGAAAAAACCATTTTGGTAAAGCAAAAACAAACAAGACCCAGAACAAGCTTACAAGGATTGAAAACCGAGAAAGCAAAGATCAAAGCAGATAGGTTCTGTTGCCGACTTTGAAAACCCTAAAAAGTTTGGGATAGAGGTTTCAGGAGTTTCTTGTCCTTGTTAATATCCCTGCGTTGTGTGTGAGCTAGGTGTTTGGAGCACTTTATATTGCAAGAAGATATTTGACAACAGAAAATACCAAAATAAAATATCACGAAAAGGGCAAAAAGTGCAAGGAGAATGAAAGAGAAAGAGAGGTCCGTACTTTGTAGTTTGGTTTGGAAGGTGGGACCTTGTCGCTTTCCTCACATTGAAAAGTTTGGCACTTTTCTAATCTTCTCTTTATTTACTTTTGAGTTTTGAGCCAAGTGTAGACATGTCCTCTATATATCATAGCAACATCCTTACCTATTACAAAATACTAAAGTTTTACTAGTTTAGTTCTAAGGAACTAACCAGGACATTATCATTATTGAACATTAAGACCAACCTATAAACCCAACATTTGAACAAGTACGATATAGAAAAGAAGTGTGGAATGTTTATAATTATGCTTCAATTTTAACTATGGGAGTATTCATATTTCATGATGAGAGTAGCACAATAGATATTATTTCTACATGAGAAGGATGGTAATAGGACATTCCCTGTAAAAGGACATCATGAAAATAGCATTCTACTAACATGATTAGGAGAATACCTCATGAAGGTGCCAAATATTTGGTTCATGCTTGTACAATAGCAAACGTAAACCAACAAAAGCGTGTTATTTCGTCATCTAAGACAATTACAATCCACGTGTAAAAGAATAAGATAAGTTATTTCCAAAATAAAAGTGTAACATCTTTAAGTACTCGTCTAGCATCTTTAATCTCCATTTATCAGATATCGCTCAAGTATTAGCATGTGAGGTATAGTAAATAGTACAAGGTTAGGCTTGAAGACTTAGTGATCAACATAAATGTTAGAACATTGTTATATATACATAGATATAATCATTGCGACAAGATTGGTGTAATACAAAATTCATAAAGAAATACTAGTAAATATTGCACCCATGTGAAGTTCATCTGTTATTTTAATTCTAAACTTGTATACTAATAGCCTTACACTACATCACGAATACATCCAGACATGCAAGTGTAAAGGTGTTTCGCCCAGCGGAAGCTAGTTTAATCATTACTCACGATGTAAATATCTAGAATGTCATTACTAACTCATAACTATTACTCATTATCATGGTGTTCGGACCGTACATAATCAACTCATGTTAATTGTGACATCCCCAATTTCATGGACAGAAAAGACCGATTTGTTTATACTTTATTTAAAAACCAGAGTATCTTTTTGAAGAATAATATTGCGGAATTGTTCCAAAAAATATGATAAGTAAATTATCAAAGCATTTCCAAAGAAATGTATTTTCGTTTTATTAAAAACGTTGGGATGTCATTGTCGATACAGTACAAAAGCATAAACAGAAGTAGTACGGGCCTTACAACATCTATTATTCTAATGGCCTATAATCCATTGATATTTCATCATATCATCACTCATGTGCTCTATTGCCACTACCTGTAATACAAGAAACTGAGTGGGTCAGACTTGGGAGTCTGGTGAGCACATAGAATTTTCCACCCACAATAATTAAATTTATTAATTTCATCAAATCATTCAACTCGATTACCCGTTCAGGTTATCCTCACTTTCTTTCCCTAATGTATCTAATTTAAGGGACCTAGCCTAAAGATTTTTCATCAGGATAGACAACACTGCTTAGGAGATTCCTCGGCAATATATGTCAATAAGGAAACCATGAGAGGGATGGAGTACACCAGTGAACACAACATTCACAAACACCTACAGGTTGAGAGCCTGCCAACGACCCACTGGACTGTCTAGAATAGTCAGTGGTTGTCATTTATACTCCGCTAGATGATTAAATCAGCTTAAACATCGAAACCTCTCGTCATTTTATTTCATCATCTATATTATCTATCACACCCCCGAACCAGGACGGCGGAAATGTCCGGGGGCGAATGACGTCATTGTATAGCATCACTACAGTTGAATATAAATGAATCATAGCAACCCAAACATCATACATAGAGAATACAAGTTTATATCGTTTACATACTGTGTTTGCTCAAAAGTACCAACAATTAACTGAAAAGTAAAAATCCATGATCTTGCAACTCCTGTTCTCAAAAGGTTTGGATACTTGTTTACTGGTTCCCTGAGAATACAAGTGATTTTGAAAAGCGTCAACAATTAAGTTGGTGAGTTCACAAGCATTTTTGTATGAAAAGTGTTTGTAATGGTATTTTAAAAATGGTTCCGTGTACTTCCATAAATCTGATATTTTCTATAAAAATGGGTTGTAAGTCTTATATTCAAGACTAAAAATGTATGTATGACTTTTGTATCTTTTCCTTGTAAAATGATAGTGTATGTTCCCAGAAAATCCTATATTTTCTTATGTATGAACTGTAGTCTTAAACCCTAAGACCATAAATGTAAGAAATGTTGTACTGTAAGATAGTATGTAGTTTTATTATGTTATAAAACTAATAAGGTGTAAGCTTCTCGTAAACCAAATAGTACAGTTAATCACTATGTGAGTTATTATAACCATGCTTACTATGACTGTTATGCCTGAACGACGTTCTTCAGGCGTCGGAATCGGTAGATATTTGTCACCCTAGACTTTCCGGTCTAACTGTAGCGAACAGCTGAGGTGTGGGTTGTCAATCCCGTATAGATCTATACACAACTATCTCGCTCTTCCTCCAGGAGACTCTGGACTTAAAGTGTACGCTAGGTAGGTACGGTGGAGAGAATGTCTCACTAGAGCATTAACAGATTTACGTGAACTACGACTCCCTTTTTCTTGTATAATGAAATAATTATACCATTGAAAAATTGTGAAAATGTGGTTTTGTGACACCCAAATTATACCAATTATAGTTTACCTTGTATGTTTTTGTGTAGAGTATTTATATAAACTTTTATATAAATATAAAGTCGAATTCTTGTCTAGTGTTAATATATGTTATTAAAACATAATATCCTTGAGTTTTAACCCACCAAAACAGAATTGACTAAAATATAACAATTTTTACTAGAAAAGCTATTTTTAGTAAAAATTACCAAAAAAAACTTGTAGTTTGTACTACTCATATTTTTCCTGTTGATGTTTGTTATTATAAAATGAGTTATGTTTTTTGTTATCTTTGCATACCAAACCTCATATTATACGAATTTTGTGTAAAAAGAGTGGTGATATCTACATTTTATACAACTATTATACCATATTCAAATAATAAGAGTGAAGCATGCAAATATCCATAAGACAAACATATTTTGACTTGTATTCCCCCCTAAAAGCATGAAAACTCGAAAAATGGGGGTATGAAGCTCACCTTGAGTTGATTTTGTGGATGGTTTTGAAGGGAGAAGATGAAGATTTCGAGCCTAGCTTCTTGAGTGAAGTTGATGGACCTCTTGGAGGTGTGATTTTTCCTAAGGGTTTCACACACGATAATGTGTGTAAAAATGATGAAGTTTACACGAGAATATGATAAATCACTAGGAAATTTCGAAATAGCTTACCTAAGTCTAAGGATGAACTTGGAGAATGGTTGAACTTGGAAGATCTTGGCCTTCTTTTTTAGTGAACTTGAAATGATAGCTAAGGGAAATGAAGTGGGGTTTCTTGAATGTGTTTACTGCCGTGAATGAGAAGTGAATGGAAGAGTGTTTCCACTTGATTATACGGGGGATATTAACTTGGTTATTTGTGGGTTAATACATGGATATTTGGTGGTTAATTGCTTAGGATACTGTGGCTCGTATCGGAAAAGGGGTTAGACATCAAATCCTAAAGTCAACACTTCAAATCTCCTTTATTTGGCCGAAAACCCTTTAAAGCACCCTAGTATAACCGGAATCACATGTGATTTCGGTCCTAGGCTTGACTTTAAGTAATTGATTTCGGTCTTAAGCCCTTCCCATGGTGTTTTCGGCCTTAGTGGATCCTTAGGGTGTGTTTTCGGCCTTAGTGGGCTTGTATGGTGTTGATTTTGGTCCTAGTGCTTACTATACATATTGATTTCGGTCTTGGTGTTTTCTAGACATGGTATTTTCAGTTTTTGAGTAATAGAAATCACTAAGATGATGGCCTTAAAAATCGAGAATTCAAGGTCATGACATAAATACATAATTTTGTGTTGAAACTATTTAATTCTTGTTTGATTTGCATGGATCTTCCAAGGTTTATTTCAACATAGTTAATTATTAATATTCAAACGAACAATGCAAAATCTCTCTTTAATCTCGACTTTGAACCGGAATTTTCATCATATTAAAACTTACCAAAAAAATGGTTTTGGTCAATTTGGACATAAGAAACAAATGCACACAAGGAAACCAAACAGCAGCCCACATATATCCAAAGTTTATATTATAACCAGGCCCTAGCTATTTGCAGGGCGTGCGACCGCACATGCCGTGTCGTTTAAGGGCCCGATTTTTTATGTATATTAGTATTAGCAACGGATTAGTGACATATTAAGAGGGATAATGACAATTTTTGTTTTGACTAATTTTATAACTTATTGACTTATCAATGATTTTTGTTTATATATACAAAAAATATATTTAGAGAATTTTTTATTTTTCTCATATGCCTTAGAAAATCAAAGGATCAACCCTGATTATAACTAAATTGAGTTTTTAAGTAAGGTTACCTTGAATCCGTGTTGTAAAAGCGGATCAAATACTAACCAACCTACCAAAAGTTTGTTGGAGATTGCCTAAGCTCATTTCTCTCAACTTCATGGTTCATTACAATCCTAATGATTCACATTATGCATCCTATAGCCTTAAACTATATCAAAATGTTGCAATCAATGTGATGTATTAAATCAAAGAAGAAAAAGAAACAAATAGCATCATTCATCCAGAAATCATGTAAAATAGATCAAAATGTTTCACATAATGTATCCTATATCCTTAAAACACATCAAAAAAATTCTTTTTCTCATTAAGTGCTTTATGCGACGAGCCCAATAAGATACTCCAGACTATGTGAACTTTATCCTAATCCTTCTTACATCCATAATTAATTTCTCATGCATGTAAAGTAAACTCTAATTGCAACAAAAACTTTTCCCTAATTTTGTGATTTTCTATCTGCTACAAAGTCTTTGAGAGGTTGAATCAAAAATATTCAGTCCAAAATTAAAGAAGACCAAGACGAAGACAAATGTTGTATTTTTTAGATATAAATTGTGCTTTATAATTCTTTCTATAATGTATAATCAAATAAATTAAATATTTATTTGACTGCAGTTAAAATTAAATTATGTATAACTAGTTTTCTCAAAAGAATAGGTTTAAGTAGGCCTTGAGAGCTTGGCTCGATTTATTGAAGGTTTAATACTCAAAGAGAGGATTGCCAAGTACGGATATAATGGATTAGATTCTTAGGATTAGCATGGGCCGGTTTTCTCATCTGCCGGTTTAGTATGTAACCTTGTAGCCCATAACTGGTTTTGGCGTGATTTTCTGCATCTCTACCACATTGTATATTTAGAGAAAAAAATGGACTTCTAAAAGTTGTTATTATATTGTATCATTTATAACTTTTTTTTTCATGGTCATTAACATTAAAGAATTTGATATAGATTTTTTTTAAACATCAAAATATCATATTTACCAAACAAAAGTCTAAATAACATATTTATTTTTTTATAAATTTAATATCATATTTGCCTAAAATAGTTTAATTTTTTTTAACATTTTATAAAAAAATTATATATTAGTTTTAGTAATGGACTATTATACTCTTCATAAATTCTCTAGCATTCCTTGATTAATCACTCAAGGAATGTGCTCAATATCATCGTGAAAAATTCAATAATAAAAAGTTTAACTTGAGATGATTTTTGGAACAAAACCAAAAGTGTTCAATATGATTGCGAGACATCTCAGTATAATCAAAATATGATATGCAACTATCTTGCTTTGAATTTTGGCACTGTTAAAACTTCTGTAAAAATAATGAACTAAATGTTCAGTGAATCCAATCTTTCTCAAATTAATTCTTAAAATCGATCACTTGTCAAAGTTTTATCTGATTCAAATTGAATTGTAAACCCACTTTGCAATTTTCCTCTTTATACAAAACCATAGTGAAAACGTTGATATTATATGCAGAGATCTCAAACAAAGATCTCAAACAAAGAACCACACTTCTTGTTTCAAAAATCACATCAATCAACTTTCTTTTAGATGGGTGTTTGAAGTTGAATTAGAAATTTATGAAGAGTATAATAGTAAATTGATAAATATAAGGATTTAAAAAGATTATAATTTTTTTTTTAAAAAAAGATTAAAATAAGATTTAGATAAATATGATATTTTGATGTTTATGAATGATAAATATGATATTTTAATTTTTTTTATTGGATAAATATGATATTTTAATATTTATTAAAGGTATATAGGAAATCATCCCGGAAATGAGTGCTTTGAGTTTTGGTTATTTTGTTGTAATTGATGGATTTTCGTTTTTTTCATGGTACTTACATACAAACACAAGTAAACAAACAGCATAAGAAGAAACTCATCGTCAACTTTTTCTAAAATAATACTACAAAACACAAAAGCAATCTAAAAGAACTACAATCAAACCCTAATCCGCATATCGATTACAAACATCTCTCATTATGTACATACCAATCATAAACATAACATTTTTATCACTCCAAATTCTTTGCTTATGTCAATACATCGATAATCACTATGTAATATTACAAAGCATCTTCATCTCATCCCTTTCTTAAAGGGTATCAGAAATTTACTCCTTTTTGTTGGTAGATCATGTCAAAAATCAAGATCCCATCTTTCATGGCAAATCTTGATTTTTCCCTCGGTCTTCGATTGGTCCAACCAATCTTCTTCCCTTGAAAGACTTAGGCCCCGTTTGGCAAACTAGCTTATAAGCTAGTTTATAAGCTACTTTATAAACTACAATAAACTACTTTTATTCTTTTACCAAACACTAAATTACAATAAGCTATCTTATTTTTTTCCAAACATGGCCTTAGATACATGATCAAAAACGTGTATATATATGTGTAGATATATAATATATATATATATATATATATATATATATATATATATATATATAGTCTCAAATTCTCAATAGCTTCTCGTTTGACTCATGGGATCATAATCATACGCATCACCAGCTTTCACAAAACGCCCTTTCACACGTTTTCTAACATCCGCTCTTGCCTTTCGTGTAGCATACCTCACTGTCTTCTCAAATCTAACCAAAAAAAAAGATAACAAATATTAATCATTTTAATCCATAAAAAAAACTATTTCAAAAGATGTTCATGAAACTTGATCATTTACTCACTTTCGGGTTTTCTTTTTTTCCTTGTAACGAAGAACCGCATCGTTTCTGATACCTGAAGGGGTGGTGCTATCGTGAGCCAGGGTGCACCAGGGTGGCTCATGCATGAGAAGCATAGATGAAGCCCCACAATCTTGATAATCACCTGCATTGCTTTCTCCAGTGAGGCTTGAAAATGAAATAGTGGAATGTGGTTTATAACAAACGTTTGGTTCTGTTTTGCAGCTTCTTAATGATTCAAATGAAGCTGCACTGCATGTGGGTCGAACATGAACATCATCTCCCTTTAAGAAAAAAATATAAGTATGAGAAATATTCATAATAAAGAATTTTTAAAGAAGAAATTACAAGTATATAATTACCTTTGTAGCATGTGAATTGTGAGACATGGATTCAGCGACTGAGGTTTCTTTAGTTCCAAATAAGCTATCGATTCCATCGTTTGCGAATAGATGTTCTGGGTCGTTGTATCCATCGCCAAACAGTACTTCATATTTCTCGATGCTTAAATCAGTTTCATCCATGTTGAAATCATCATAGAATGCGTCTTTTGTAGATGAAATCTGCGATTTTGAATTCAAGTTACGATTTTGAATTCAAAAACTGTAGAAATTGAAAAAACCCAATTCGATTTACCTTGAATGTAGAACAAGGATCAGGATCGTTTTTGTAATTTGAGTTGATTCCTTTCTGCAAATCGTCTCGCTCAATCGAACAAGATAAAACTTGATCGGTTTTGTCGTCGGCGATGGACATTAACTCCATTTCCTGTTGACAAGTGGAGCCGAGAACAGATGGAGAGTCTGACATGAACGACCAGATGGAAGATAGTTCAACCGCCGATGGGCAGCCGGAGTAGCAATTTAACGTTTGCCGACAATGGCTAACGGAATCGGAATTAGAACCGGTGTGACCCTCCAAGTTACATTTTTGACAAAGTGAGAGTTTTTCATCGACGCATCTAACGAATGCTGGTTCTGAATTGCATCTATCGCATATGAGTGTTCTTGAATGGCGTTTTGATAATGCGTTTGCGGAATGAATATTCCGATCACACGATAGACATAAGTAAGCTTCGTCTGATCGACAATACACCATCGATCTTGCCTCGCGACAGTAATCGCAATCGTAACCCATTATTGGAAAATCTTTATCGGATTTAATGAACTGGTGAAGCAATCTGTGTCAAACAAATGAGAAACTGGATTAGGGATTTGGAATCTTTGTAATTTGACTAAAATAGCAAATACTTTAATGATTATGTATGTGTTCTTGGGTATTGATAAGGGTGAATTCAAGAACAATCTATCAACACAAATGGATTCTGAAAAAATTCGAATTTAACATCTTTTTAACGTGTCCAGATTGAGGAGGGTTTTGTGCATCTAGAATTCAAACAGTAATCTGAAGAAACAAGAAAACTCTGTTCATCAAAATAAAACCAGGGGAGATAACAAAAACCCAAAAAGACTCAAATTCACCCAAAAAATTGGATTTTTTTCGAAAGAAACAGATGGTTCGAATCAGCGACTCAAACCCAGAATCCATGGATTAAGAATAAATAGAAGAAATCCCAGAAAAACCCATTTTGGTAGAGCAAAAACAAACAAAACCCAGAAAAAGCTTACCAAGATTGTAAACCCAGAAAGCAAAGATCAAAGCAAATTGGTTCTGTTGCCGACTTTGAAAACCCTAAAAAGTTAGGGATGAGAGGTTTCAAGAGTTTCTTTTCCTTGTTAATATCTCTGCGTTGTGTGTGAGGTAGGTGTTTGGAGTACTGTTGTTTTGCAAGAAGATATCTGACAACAGAAAACACCAAAATAAAATATCACGAAAAGAGCAAAAAGTGCAAGGAGAGAGAAAGAGAAAGAGAGGTCTGTACTCTGTAGTTTGGTTTGGAAGGTGGGACCTTGTCGCTTTCCTCACAATGAAAAGTTTGGCCCTTTTCTCATCTTCTCTTTATTTACTTTCGAGCCAAGTGTAGCCATGTCCTCTATATATCATAGCAACATCCTTAACTATTACAAAATACAAAATATTTACTACTTTAGTCTGAAGGAACTAACTAGCACATTATCATAGAACATCAAGACCAACCTTTGAACCCAACATTTGAACTAATAAGTACGACATAAAAAAGAACTTTGGAATGTTTATAATTATGCTTCAATTTAACTATGGGAGTATTCAGATTTCATGATGAGTGTAGCACAATAGATATTATTTCTACTTGAGAAGGATGGTAATAGAACATTCCTTGTAAAAGGACATCCTGGAAATAGCATTGTACTAACATGATTAGGAAAATACCTCATAAAGGTGCCAAATACTTGGTTCATGCTCGTACAATAGCAAACATAAACCAACAAAAGGGTGTTATGTCATCATCTAAGACCATTACAATCCACGAGTAAAAGTACGCGATAAGTTATTCCCAAAATAAAGGTGTAACATCTTCAATTACTCGTCTAGCATCTTTAATCTCCATTTATCATATATCGTTAAAGTATTAGCATGTGAAGCATAGTAAACAATACAAAGTTAGGCTTGAAGATTTAGTGAGCAACATAAAGGTTAGAACATTGTTATATATACATAGATATAATCATTGAGACAAGATCGGTGTAATACAAAAATTATAAAGATATACTTGTATATATCGCACCCGTACGAAGTTCATCTATTATCTTAATTCCAAACGTGTATACTCATAGCCTTGCACGAATGCATCCGAACATGAAAGTGTAAAGATGTTTCACCCACTGATAACTAGTTTAATCGTTACTCACAATGTAAATTTCTTGAATGTCATTGCTAACTCATAATGTTTACTCGTTATCATGGTGTTCGGTGTCACACCCCCGGCAGACGGACGAAACGTCGGGCTGTGCAACGTAGGGATGTTGGATCATAGATACAAAGTCATATTAAATAGTACACAGATGTTATACATACATTACTTTTTATTCATTAAGTAATATAAAACACATAGGCCTCCTAATAAAACACATAGGCCTCCTACTGCATTACCTAAATCTTGCCCATCTTCTTCCGGACTCATTCTCTTAAGCATACATGTGGTTTGAAAGGTCAACATAATGTTGGTGAGTTCATAGGTTTTGTATTCTTTGAAAGGTTTTGTAGAGTTGGTTATGTCAGCGCTGTGGTTTTCCTAAACTCACACACTTGAGTGGTGTTCTATCTCTACTTTCTTAGGTTAATTTCCTAGTAGTGGTTTTTAGATAGATTAGTTAAACAATGTTACGATGAGTTCCATGATCCAGTTGTGACTAGTTGTTGTCGTCCGTCTAGTATCTCGACGCTCCTTCAGACATCGTTCGTGTTTAGAAAGTTATGGATTCACCGACTGCCATTGGGTTGTAGCTAGCAACCACAGGGGGATGTGTCAACTCCGTATAGATCTATACATATCTTTCCCGCTCACTTAATATTAATGATTATAGGCCTGGGGCTTTACAGCTAAAGGTCATTCAGCTAGAGGGTGAATCGTGTCTCATCTAATACTTGTATATGGGTGCCTCACCTGGTTGATCGTGTTGTTGTTCGTTCTTGTATTTATATATATATATATATATATATATATATATATATATATATATATATATATATATATATATATATATATATATATATTATCTCATACATATATATAACTAAGTCAGAGTGTTTTGCGTAGCCGAGGTATTTGAGCAAAGTAATCATTAGGTACTAAGCATATCCAAAGGTTGGAAATAGCGATGTCTAGAGAAAAAGCATTTCCTAGCAATGGGTCGGCGTAACAACTAGGTGTGGCATTTTTTATCAATGTGATCAGCATAACAACTAGGCTTAATATTATCCCTAAAAGTTCGCAGGATATCTACCGGGCATAATATCATCCTAATGTTCTAGGCATAATCATATTACTAAGTTTATACAATCAGTAAAATTTATGAAAAACGATAGTTTATAACATGCATCCCCCCCGGGGGTAAAAAGTTTGAAAACAATAAAGTGGGGTCGTGAACTCGCCCTTGATATGTGAAACCGTTAATGTAGGGTAGAATTCGAAAGTCCAAAACTCGGGAGGTGCTCGAGAATGAGAGAAACGAAATCGAGTGAGAGAGATGTGTGTTTTGAGGTGTGAGGAACTGAAATGTTGGAACCTTCTATTTATAGTCGTTTTCGAGTGCACACCGTGTAATTACGCGTGAGCCATAGGGAGCTTCCACGTGTCCTTTTCACTTTTAGCTATATTTTATAACCGTTATGATTTTATAAAAAAATCATAACTCTCACATATTGTTTCCATTTTAGATGTTCTTTGTCTTAAATTCCTACTATGAGTAGTACTACATTTCTCCTTTTGGTGACTTCTGCCAAAAGTCGACCGTTCTTCTCGTAGTTTTGACGTTGTAACTTTTTATGTGCGGTAGATTTTTATTTACCAAAAAAATCATCTCTTCCACACTAAGTCGGATTTTTACGAAGTTTATATTTTTGGAATCGCGTCAACGCGTATATTCTAAAAACATTAACCAGCTCTCAAGGTGACACGATTTTTCATGCACTAAATTTTGAGCCTAAGTATTTGAAGTAATTAAGGACGAAATGTAACATCCCGATGTTGAGGTATTTTCAATATTGACACTATGCAAAAATAAATAATGCATTTCAATCCCTGATTATATGAAAGAGTACAAAATGGCCCATAGTGACAAAATGGTAATTTGGACTAGGATTAGTACGTTGAACGTACGTTGTGTACGCTAGGCATACTAGGGTGCGCCCTAGTACGCTGGGTGTACACCTCGTATGCGGGGAGTACTAGAGAAAATGAAAACCCTAATTTTTAGGGTTTGGTCCGTATATAAACATCATTATCTCTCATTTCTCATTCCCTCACTAGCCTCCCTCCGTGAAAATCGACCCCAAGTAAACCCTAGGTGAGAAGAGTTCATTTTGAGCCCATTGGTGTACTTTGGTAGTTTTCTTGAAGAAGAAGAAGGTGGTGAGAAGAGCTTGGAGCTTGGAAGCATCTTGGATCTAAGATTATCATCTTGTTAGCAACCTCCAGTAGGTATAAAGTTCACAAATTGATCACTCCATCTTGTAGATCTAGCCATTTCTTCTTTTAGGGCACTTTTGGTCCCAAATATGGTGATTCTTGAGCAGGGCATGCTCTTAACCCAATAAATCGTCCTTTCAGACCTTATGGGGGGTCTTAAGTTATAAAGATGTGGTATTGATGGTTGGTTTTACTCCATTCATGCTATAGAAGATCTTAATGCATTAAGATGTTGAGATTTTGTGTTTAAGCACTTAAAGGACATGCAAAGTTAAAAAGTTTGAAACATTATGACTTATGATGGTATTTTAGCCTTGAATCTGAATTTGGACGTGTTAAGTCGAAGAAATAAATGCTTAATAGGCTAAGTGGAGGGTTACTGCGTACGTTGGGCGTACCGCAGGGTATGCTGCTCGTACGCAGATCTGGCCCCGATGCCTCGGGCATGTGTGTACGCCCTACGTACCTCTGGAGTACGCCCGCGTACGAAGCATGAGTCAACTTGGTTGAGTTGATTCGACTGTGTTGACTCGGTTGACTGGTTGACTTTGACCAGCTTTGACCAAGGGTATTTTGGGGAAAATATTATTAATGGATAATGTTTTGATATTTAGGATTTAGGTTGAGTCGGTAGTTGGAGCAAAGTATTGATCATCTTTTCGTCAATCTGTAAGGTGAGTTTTCCTTACTGTACTTGTGGCTCGAAGGCACCAAGACCGGCCCAATTTGATTGTTATCATGTTATACTTTGATTGATGATATGTTGAGTATAGGGTAAATCTATATGATTATATGATATTTGTTGATATGTGTAGACCAGTAGATCTATATGACTACCTGTGATTTCTGTATGCATGTTTATCTGTCTGTTGAATATGTTTGTTATCTGTTATATGTCGACATATGGTGTTGGGTTGAGACATTACTGCTATGTGCGTAAGTTAACAGACGGGGGGTATTCCAGTCCGATGACTGAGTGGACCCGAGGGTATTCCAGTCCAATGACTGAGTGGGCCCGCTGTATATGGGTTTTCAATTCTGATGACTGAGTGGGCCTGTTGTATATTGGCATTCTAGTCTGATGAATGATTGGGCCAGGGGTAATCCAGCCCGATGGTTGTCGACCCATGGGTATTCCAGTCTGATGACTGATCCGACCCAACATGCTTGTTTGTATATGATATGTGTATTGTTTGGTGGTACTTTGGGGGAACTCACTAAGCGTTGGCTTACAATTTTAGTTTTGTTTCAGGTACTTCAGAGGACCATGGCAAGGCGAAGGCGTGACCGTACACATCTTAGGTTTTATGTTGTTAATATTGGGAGACTCTAATTTTAAATAATGTTTTGGAAACAATGGTTTTGTAAACACTTTTATTAGTAAATGTGTTGTTTTGAAAAGTTTAAATTGGTTGTGATTTTTTAGATGTTACAATTTGGTATTAGAGCCTTGGTTTGAGCCTTGGTTTGAGCAATTTGGTATTAAAAATGATTTTCAAAATTGTTTTCAAAAATAATCAAGAAAGGATGTGATGTGTATGATCAGCCGGAGCTAGTAAGTAGACCCCAAGTTACCACACTGTTATTTGATATTATGTTATAAAATCATGCTAGTGATAGGCTAGGGATCTTCATGAATTGCATGATAGAATTGATTGATTATATGATGCCTGATAGCCTAGGGTTCTTCCTTATATGAAATTGACATCATTATTGTAGCTGTTTAGTGGATGCATCAAAATTGTACATAACTAAGATTTTATAGCCTGAGAATGTTTGATTTGGCGTTATTTCCTGTTCCTTGTTTGGTTGTGGGCTTAAGGTAGAATCAAGTATTCGACTACCTATAGGAT